TCCGATACTCTATGTACTCGAGATCGGTGTAGGAGTAATAGTCCATTAGAACCCTATCGGAATAATGCATCCAATGCATTATCCCGTTAGAGTTTTTAACTACCTTTCAGGGGGGTGAGTGTAATTATCGATACCACAGGGACCTTACAGTTATTTAAGTATACCTCAGGGGTGTGGGTGTAATTTACCCTAAAAATAAATAACATAAACCTAGGAATTGTTTTAAAAACGTAACATGAAACAATAATTTTACAATTTTATGTAAATTGGTTTTTCTTCCTTAAAAAAATGTAAAAAAATAAATATATGTAAAGTACAAATTACAAGTTGCAAATTCCAATACATGCAAATAATAAAATAATAATTCAAAATTCGATATAATCAACTAATAATTGTGTGCATACAACCAAATGAAAAAAAATTGATTTAGTTTAATGGAAAAAACAATTCGAAAAAAAAAAGATGACGAAAATGACTGTATACTCACTTGTTGCTATGAAGTTGGATGGTGGTGACAAATGAGGTGTGGGATGAGGATTTTATACTTGCGTTTGCAATAAAAAAAAAGTAAACAATATGTAAACATGGTAAATAAAAATCAACATTAAATATACATTGCAAAAATTTTGTGAATGGTAACTTGAAATTTTGAATTAAAGTACAAGATAACTAATCAAGTTATTATTAAGGTAGATTTGGTAAAATAATGATTTGGTGGAATGAATTTGCTTAAATAAGGTAAACTAATAAAGTAGACAATTATTTTAAAATAGGATGATTCCATTTTTTTTGAGATCTTGCCACCTAAAAGGATAATAAATGGAAGTGGGATATGAAAAGAATTAAAATGAAAAGTAAACATATTAGATAAATTTAGAAAAAAAACTTCATTTTTTATATGTGTGTGTGAAAAAAGGATGAAATAATCAATCTTAGAAATATATCTTTTTGAATATTTTTTTGATAATTTAGGAAACGTTCATGAATTGAAATTGAAAATATATTAATTATGAAGTATAATATTTTCAATTTTGATTTTATGTTTCATAATTTAAAATAAAGGTTAATGACATTCTATATTTTAAAACAATGTTTTATAGTGATAAATTGGAATCTAATAATCAAGGAAAGAAGTTCCAAAAATGAAAGAAATGAAAAAATGTTGGATTAAAAGTGTAGATGTAAAAACTTTGATCGTGCATTCTCCATTTTTATATTAAATAGATGTTTTCTAGTTTGTAGTCGTTTTATGTAAAAATACATTTTTTGATACACCACAATCTGATATTTACAAGCCAAAGAGACATATTCTATAATTATCTTGTTTTAAAATATAGAGCTCGAGTGAGGTAAAACGTGTACAAACCGAAGAATATTTTATAAAATTTGGAAGATTATGTTGAATATGACACCACGAAAGAAAACGAGCAAGAAGATTCATAATTGAAGAATGATTGTAATTATTCAAACGGAAACGGAGTTTTTCGTAATTTAACAATATCGTCCGCAGTGGCCCTAATTTACCATTTATTTTAATTACTTTTCCCCAAATCAAGCCTTCTTCCCCAAATCATCTTCTTCTTCCCTTCCAACACTCCGTCGAGCCTTCACTATCCATCACCACCAGTACTCCGTCACCAGTGTACTCATCTCCGCCGTCGGCGGTTGAAGGACACGCGCCCCCAAATGGAAAATTACTTAACACCTAATTCGACGAGATGACAACTCTACGAAACAATTGCTGCTTCCATTCTTAGTCACGCTTCCTCCCCATTTGGCCTTAGCTTTGGAAACTCCGTCGCAGGTATGTGTAATTCATCATTGATGGAAGTTATTTTTTTTTATTTGTAATATCAGTTTAATTTTAGGTTAATTTTGCTGCGTCCCACTTCTCACACACCATGCATTTGTTTGTTATTGTTACTTTTGGTAATGGGGAATGCGTTTGCTATTCGGCATGCATTTCTTTTCACACCGAAAATTTCCGTTATTGGTTACCGAAATTTTCGGGTACAGTTTTACCAAATGAACACCCCTAGCTAGCCGCATTTCATAATTAAAATGATTGTTAGGCTCCGTTTGGATGGAAGGATTTGATTTGAGGAACACGATTCGAAATGACTCCAATTTGGAGTCGTTTTCAAAATTACGAAGATGAAGGAACCATCCAGACATGAGCGATTTTAAATTCCTCGTCCTAGCAAGTAGTGATTATTTTATTCATATAGAAAGATGTTTTGAATTTATTCTTCTTTGCATAATTTGGCCCCATTTGGTTGCCAAGGTAAGTCATGATGATTAACTAAATAGTTGGACTTAATTTGATGTTTGGTATCCCCAATAAATTACCGGGTTGACCCGCCAAAATTATATAATCATGGCTTATCTTGCCTTCTAATGAGTTTTTTTTTGTTGGATTCAAGTTCCAATAAAATAATTGGGTCTCATTAGATTATTTAATTTTATGTTGCCAACCAAACGGGGCCTTAGGTAATTGTTTTCTATCTTGGTTCCAATAATTTTGGCTAACTACTTTTTTGCCTCGTATACTTTTTAACTTTTGTTTTTTCCCTAATAATAAAACTACTTTCAATTTGTCGGTATATTTGGTAACTAATTGTCCTATGTTTAATTTTTCCAGTCCCTAAGATGAGTTCAACAAACTTAAGTAGCATGTATGGTATTGGAGAGGTTGGTGTGAAAGCTGTTAAGTCGGAGCAAGATTACATGCGACGATCAATGCAACTAAATCAGACCCCCAAATTTGATTTAACATCTCACGAAGAATCCAATTCCCTAATTAGAAGGCATGAAAGTGAAAAGAGTAGAGGATCGACATTCTTAAAAACTCAAGTTGATGATTCAAGCCTTTGCTCGACATCATCAATATGTTCTGCTCCGATTTGTCGTCAGTTTTGGAGAGCTGGGAATTATGACGACAGGCTTAATTCTAAGCCAGCAAGTCAAAGTATTTTGCTCTCTGATAATCACACTTCATCTTAATATTCTGAACTATATAATTAAAAAAAAAGTATAGAATTATATTTTTTTTTTAAATGATTTTTTTGGCAGATGGCACCGGTTATCTTCGGATTCATCCGAAATTTCTTCATTCGAATGCTACTTCACATAAATGGGTCTTTGGTGGTACGTGATTCAAATATAGTTCGCTGCTTCAGCTTGAATAGATCATTTGTGTTATTGCTGCTTGATATCTTCTCATATTTTTGTTACTTGTTCCGTGTTTACAGCTGTGGCAGAACTGCTTGATAATTCAGTTGACGAGGTAATCTTCTATGAAGTTTGATATTTTCTTTTTTTCTTCAGCTGGGTTATACATTTTTCATTGGGATTACCTTCATATTAAAATGTGAATGTAATAGACATCTAAGGGGCATATATGAACTGTGCATGGCTTAATTTCATATCATGTTTGTCTAAGTGACCATGTTATTTCGTAGTAATATTAATGTTTTTATTTTGCGTCTCATGTACTGGTAGATACAAAATGGGGCCACCTTTGTCATTGTAGATAAAATTTTAAATCCCAGGAACGGAACTACAGCATTGTTAATTCAAGGTAATGAATCTTTCAAATTCACATTTATAGAACTATACAATTCTTAGCTATTCAACAATGAATACTATTTGACATTCTGTACTTGATTAAACTGAAAGATACATTAATTATGATTTTCTTATTAGATGATGGTGGTGGAATGGACCCTGAAGCAATGCGGCGTTGCCTTAGTTTTGGGTTTTCCGATAAGAAGTCAAAAACTGCAATCGGACAGTGTGAGTGTGAAAATGATGTTTATTATTTAATATCACATTTATATGTTGACTTATCGCACCATTTCAGATGGTAATGGGTTCAAGACCAGTTCTATGAGACTTGGGGCCGATGTTGTTGTCTTCAGTCGCTGCCAAAAGAACAGGTTCCACTGCTTTCTTCATTTTCTTGTTAACATTTCTAGATGGCTTCGCTTCTTTTGTATGTTAATTGTTACTGTATTTCTTGGTGGAGCTTCTTGTGATATCCTTATTCGTCGAAAATCCTTTCAATATAAATCTTCACCGTTTATTTCTGTTCTACATCTTTGAATGGTTTAAATCGATATGGTGTCTGTGAAATTTGCAACATGTCAAAAGATGATAGCCAAGTATAAGAAATTATTTTTGCGATGTAGTATACTTAGATTTCGGTTCACTCTGCAAATTGATGCAAATTGATATATATATATATATATATATATATATATATATTTCCATTTCAGAAATACTGAAGTCTTTAAAGATTTAAACGAGAAATGGTCTTTTATGTCATACAATAATGCTTCAGAAGCACGAGGACAATATGTTTTGTTATAAGCTTATTAAACTAAGGCCTCGTTTGGTTGGGGAGATTAGCTATTATTTACTAAATAGTTGGACTTTATTTGATGTTTGGTATCCCCTATATCTTGTTGGGTCGACCCGCAAATATTATGTTATCATGGCTTATCTTGCCTTCTAGGCATGTTTTTTATTGGATCTTCCAAGGTCCAATAATACAATTGGGTTTTGTTAGATTATTCAATCTTATATTGGCAACCAAACGAGGCCTAATGATATTAGGGAAGCCACTTGCTAATCCATTTTTTTTCAGAAGGCCATATGGTTTATATCTGTTACTTCCTTGTTCTCTTCCTCCCGGTTCATGGATGGTCAACTATGATCAATTCTGCTGAATTGTATTTTGATCAGGATTACTTTTAACAATTAACAATTAGGAAAAAGATTTGCAGTATTCTGTTAAAGCTAGAATTTTACTTTACATCTAAGGTAGAGGTTTTTTTCTCATTGTCATCGTAAAATGGCAACTCTTGAGAAACTTAAAATTTACTGTCTCCCTGCTCAATCTTTAATACTTCTTTTGTGGTCTTATTATTTCTTATTTGTTAATTTTTTTTTCGTGATCAGGACATTGACTCAGAGTGTAGGTCTTCTGTCTTATACATATTTAATGCAAACAAGACAAGACAGGATAGTCGTTCCAATGGTGAGTAACACATTCGAAATTAATAGATGCAATATTCATGTTTCTGAAATGTCTTCAATTTGCTGTCGGTTATCATGTCACCCCCAAAAATAGTGACACACATCCCAGTTAGTCGCATTCAAGCTAACATCCTTGGTTTAAAATTTTGAGTGGATGACAGGATGAATAAAAAGGTATTAAAGTTTATACAAATGTTGTTGACTGGATGGGGAATTTGTACAGTCGTAAAAAAGAAAATGTGAAACCGGTTTTGATTTTTTGCTTCTAATTAATGGCCTAACACTGAAATAGTCACCGTTAAGAGTGATTGTTCTTCTAAAAGTTAACAGTATTAAATTTAATGGAAGTTGTGTAAGTTCTATACTACACATTCTTAGGCCTGAAACACGATCCACAGATAAGTCGATGCCTATTGCCTAATTTTTGATTTGGTGCAAGATCTGAAAATTGTTGGCATGTAGGATCTTGTTGTGCCTCGTGATACTTCAGTTTTAACTTCATACTTACGTTATAATGCCGATTAGTATGATTTTGACCAGTTGTTGTTTGGACATTATACTTTTATAGTTCTGCTTTCAGCATCTACTGCCAGGGCATGCAAAAAAGCAAAAAAAAAAAAAGAAAGAAAAGGAGAATCAGCTACTGCATACTTTTTTGTTTTGATGAGCATTTGATGTTCTTTTTATTTCAATATTCTCCTTTCCCATGATTAGTATTTCATTTTCTTTGTCATGTTTCATAGGTGTCTACTCCTCTGTGCACCTTAAATATCAAGTTTCTCTTTGCATTTATGCAGGTCGATTATCAATTCAACGCAAATAGTGGCACATGGAATACATTGCACAATGAACAACAGCTTAAGAATAATCTTTCAATCTTGTTGCAGTGGTCCCCAGTTGCCACAGAAGCTGAACTTCTAAAGCAAGTACGTAGAACTTTCAGAGAACAAGTTTCTATTTCTTTTTATCTTATTAACCATTTTCCTATATCTTTTATGGGATAAAACTGTTCCTAATCCCTATAGGCCTCGTTTGGTTGCCAATATAAGATTAGCCAAGATAAGACTAAATATTCCAATGAAACTCGATTATATTGTTGGACCTTGGAAGATCCAATAAAAAACATGCCTAGAAGGCAAGATAAGCCATGATAACATAATATTTGCTGGTCGACCTGGTAAATTATTGAGGATACCAAACATCAAACAAAGTCCAATTATTTAGTTAATCATGGCTAATCTCTCAAACCAAACGAAGCCATAGTGTATGCTATTATTTCCTCCCATGCAATACCCTTTGGACTTAATATATCATTTCCTTCTATTTGTGCGATGTTGCAGTGTGATGACATTGGTCCTCATGGTACGAAGATAATAGTCTACAATTTGTGGCATAACGATGATGGAAAAATGGAGCTGGATTTTGAGTCAGATCCCGAGGTTTCTGTTGGCTGTTAAATTACTACCGTCATTGGATTTACTCTGCCATTGCCTGCTGTTATAGTTCAGTTATTATTTCCCTTACTGGTTGACCATAGCTTCATTTGATTCTTTGGTATCAGGATATCCGAATACTTGGGAAGGGTAACAATAATGAAAAAGTTTCTTATATGGTGGAAGCTTCTGAACGGCATATTGGTAACCGTTTTCGCTATTCACTCCGTGTAAGTCTCTTCAGGATATAGTAATCTTTGTATAAATCTGTATACTATAAAACAATTCTTACTAATACTTGGTCCTCCCATGCCTGCAGGCATATTTATCTATTTTATACTTGCAAGTCCCGGAAAAGTTTTCCATATTATTACGTGGACGAGTTGTTGAGTATCATAACATCGCAGCTGATCTCAAATTTCCGGAATTCATAATGTACAGACCTCAAAATGTGGAGGTAGGGCCTTTTTTCAATATAACCACATGAATAATATATACAAATATAATAGGACATGGATTTAGACACATAAGTGAGTTGATTTATGCTAACAATTTAGTGAGTATGCATGCATGCACACTTGATACAGACATTAAAAACAATATTTTCCGAGTTTCATAATTTTGTTTAAATGTTTTGGAAATAAAAAAGAATCATCAGAAAGATATTCAAAAAATATTAAATTACAAAATTGCAAAGGACTAAAAAGTGATCGGAATTGGTGGTTGCACTTGCTCGGACATCTCACGTGCCTTTCGGCTGTTACAAGGACTATTTTGATGAACATAATTCAGAATGGGACTAAAAATAGTTTGAACTGGACCAAAATTCAAAACTATCCAATCTAATACGACCAAATTTAACATCTGCTTGTTAGTCCTTCGGCGTCGATCTTATACAAATCTCAATTAGATGGAGAAATGGCATGGACTTGCATTCGCAACTGAAATATTTTGATCACTTAACATGTATACATTTGTTAAATAATTAGCTTTCTCTGGTGGTTGTTGTTAGCATATGATTGGATCAATTTTGGAGATTTATCATCCTTGATTTGGTGATTGTAGGGTTCGGTCCTCACGACAATTGGATTTCTGAAGGAAGCTCCAGCTGTTAATATACATGGCTTTAATGTCTACCACAAGAATAGATTGATACTGGTGAGTTACTTCAATTTTAAAACAAAATTTTACATAACGAACATGCCAGTTTTTCCTGGCCTATATCTCACATCCATATTTGTTCGTCTTTTCCTTTGCAGCCATTTTGGCATGTGGTAACATATTCCGACAGTAGAGGCAGAGGGGTCGTAGGTAAGAATTATATATATTGTGTCTTCTCACTTTTGTCATGAATTAAATGTACTGTTACTAGGTGAATTGCTACTGGGAAATTGCAGGGGTTTTGGAAGCAAATTTTATTGAGCCTACCCACAACAAACAGGAGTTTGAGAAAACTCCAGTTTTCCAAAAGCTTGAAACCCGTTTAAAAGAAATGACTCAAGAATACTGGTTAGTGATTTATTTGAGAAAAAAGCAACAAACATAATTTTCTTCCACCTTATCCATCTTAGCTTTTTTGTAACTGTAAAAGAGATGAGGTTATTCATCCATTTATTCTTATGGCATTATTGGAATGTGACAGGGATTATCATTGTGGACTGATTGGTTATCAAGTTAAGAAAAAGCCTCGACCAAATGTGATGCCTCAGTGTGGTTCCGATTCTCGGCTAAGTAATGGTATATATCAGCCTGTTATGCTGAGTCGAGACTCCTCAAAAACTATTGGTGCAAAAGCATCACCCGCAGCTGGAGCTAGACGAGATGAAGTTAATGCCTCATTGAATTACGCGCCAGCAAAATCTGGAATGTCTGTGCCTTCCTTTCATCAAAATCCACAGGGTATAAAATAAATAAAAATACTGATGCCTGAGCTTCCTCGAATATTTTTGTGTTTCCTTACAACAATGAGTCGTTTAAGGACATATATTGTATAAACCTTGCTTTTTGATTCGAAAATGTACTGCATTAAAAACAGGAGTAACTTCCAAAAGGAAAGGACACGACCATTTTGTAGAGCCTGAAAGGGTGAAGAGGATTGGAGCCATTGCATCCAGGTCAACTGGCAGTGCTCAGGGTGGAGCTGTACAGGTGATGTATGGTTTGACTTTTACGACGAAGCCATAATTACTATTAAAATAGAACATTATGTTTCTTCCTCTTTTCTTTGTTTTTTTTTTTCTCTTCTTTTGCATGTATCCGTCAAAACTTCTAAAACTCAACTCAACTTCTAATATTATGTGGTACAACCCAACTTCTAAAACTTAATATGAAACACCATGATTCACATTATCGTTCAGCTGATACAGCTCTTTTTTTTTTCCATTAAGTTCAATATATTCCTCGTATCTATCTTCGGCTAGTCTAGGGGGTTTATAAGTTTTAATTTTAAACAAATTGCAATATACATGCTGTTGAAAATCTACTGTCGTATGCATACCTCATAGATTTGTGCTTTAGATCATGTTCTTCAGAAACTTTTCTTGCTTTTCTTCTGCCGAAATTCCCATTCAAAAAAGGTTTCTCCCTCGGTTTACGTGTTTCCTAAAACTCGGCTGATAAAAATTCCACCAGCCCCAAAAACCTAGTAAAAATTGTCAGGATTTGAATTACTTTTCCTTCTTACCCTGAAATTCAGGGGTGACGAGGTTAACACTTTCTGTTGATGCTACATGCTCTATAAAAAATCTTTATCTATTACGCTGATCACGTTTAAAGGTTTCTCTCCATGCAAATGCTCTAGCGAGTTCTAAAGGGGAAATTTTTTACAGAGTATCATTTTAAACACTTCCACAATCCATTTCTGTAAATACCATTATATTTTCTAGCATTTTTTTTTTTTTGGATTTTTGGTGATTTTATGTGTGTGTGTAGAAGGCATCCTTGACATTATTTTATTTCGTGTAGATTGCTGTTGACCCTGCAGAACTATTGGAAGACCAAGAGGCTTCTGAAGTGATTATAGAAAACGAAAAGCTTCGTGCTCAGTAAGTTTCTTATCATAAAAATCGTGATGTGAAGAACCGACAGAGCATAATTACATCACACAATATATATGCTTTTCGTTGTTCTTAAAGTGTATATTGTCAATTGTGCCCTCATGTGTGAATCTGTTTTTTGTATTTTAGGTGCAAGGAATATGAGACGACAGACGAAGAACTCAATCTCAAGGTACTTGTGACCACCTTAAAGTTCTTTGATACTTTTTATTAGAATGCGCAGATTCTAGAATCTTATATTGCATCTATTATGAAATAGTGTCGATTAGAGTTCTTGAAGCATTATAATGAACTACTGATAGGACAATCCGAAAAACAACTGCATAATTAATTTTAATCAATTTTTTTTTTTTTTTTTGCGTTCTTGTTTCTCTCACCCGTGAATAAAGAATATATGGTGTTTATTTGTATAGATCACACGACTTACAACAGAAGTGCGAGAAGCACGACGTGAGTACGCTCGCTTGCTGATAGAATCGAATTTATTGGAGAAGGTTAAGAAGGAAAATAGACAAGCTAAACCTGTATGATTTGTGTAATTGTCTTGCTATGACCTTTTTGTTCTTCCAAGTAGAGTACAGATGTGTAATTGTCTTTGCTATGACCCTTTTGTTCTTGGAAATAGTACGTACATATTTAAGTGTTAGTTTATCTTGTCTTTATTTATTGGGGCAATTTTCTACTAGTCCCTAAACCGTAATATTCTTTCATTTTAGGACATCAATATATTTTCATTATCTAGAAAATCATTCGGTCATAATTTTTATGGCAAATAATGGCATATAGGTCCATGACAAGGGACTTAAATACACATAGATCCAGACGAAAAACAGTCTTGCAAATAAACTCATTCTTATGGCGTTGATCTTTTTTTTTTTGAACTTTTTTTCTTCGCTAAATTACTCTGTTAACAAAATTATTGTCTCAGATAGAAATATTGAATACCAAAACAGTAATATTACTAATGTTACTGTCCCAAACAATAATATTATTGTCCCAAATACTAATATTACTATCCTAAATAGTTAAATTACAAATATAAAATATTACTTTCCCGAACATCAATATTACTAATATTATTGTTCCAAACAGTAATATTATTGCATCTGACAGTAATATTACGGTCGAAGACAACAAAATTGTAGGCCAAGACGATAAAATTAATGAATACAGTAATATTATTGTTTCCGACAATTAAATTACTGTCGGATACCGTAATATAGCAGGCCAAGACAGTAATATTAATTTAAATTATTTTTTTTTTAATAAAAAAACTAGTTTTCAAAAAAAAAAGAAAGAAAAAAAGTCAATCCCGGAGATCGGGGGTTGACCTACCGGAAAAAAAAATTCAAAAAAAAAACTTTCAAAATAAAATAAAATTCAACGCTGGAGATCGGCGGCAGCGGTCAAAATTGGGGTTAAAATTGGAATAAGGGTCAAAATTGGTTAATTGGTGAAATTTGACTAAATTGGGGAGTAAATCATGAAATTGAAGTTGAATTAGGGGTTAAGGAATTGAGGGTAATTTTGGTATATATGAAAGGGTTTTCCTTATTTGCAAATAAATTTGAATGAACCGGATTTATTTGAAAGACAAAAAAATTGGATGTCCATTTTTTAATTAAGTGCTCTTTTCAGGCCTATTTGCCATTTGCCCATTTTTTATTTATCGGCTAAAAGTCCATCATTCATTGACATACACATTTTTGGCGGTCGATAGTCGGCAGCAGAGCACCGTCGACTAATGTTTTTTCTTTTCTTTTTTTGACTAGGAGTATCTCCCACCGATCCTCATATCACCATTATTCACATAATTTAGGTGTTTATGGCGTCACACCTAATCCTTATAGCACCGTTTCACCTAGATTTATAAAATTTTTGTTTAAAGTTCTATACCTAGTAGAACGGCTTGATGAACAAAACTCATGACATTTGCTCATGGACGATGTTAGATTTTGGTGATCCGACGTCGTTTTGACACTTAAAAATAAAATTTTGCTACTTTAGGAAAGTTTTATAAAATTCATATCAATTCATAGAAATTTCAGATGAGGATTCTGTTAGTTGGTTTGTTTTCGGAATTGCGAGATCTATTAGAATTAGATTTTAACTCATTTTCAATTTTTTGCTGCAAAATGATCATTTTTCCCGGTTTATTAAGATTTTTTGAGTTTGATCAGCACGTTAAAAGTTATATCCCTAGTATAATGGCCTCATGAACATGTAATTAACACATTCCATTACAAAAGTTCACTAAAAACTTATCAATTAACAAAAACCACTCTGTAATTAATGAAAACCACTATGTAATTAATAAAAACCACTGTATAATTAGCGAATTCCATTACGAAAATACACTCTGTAATTAATGAAAACCACTCTATAATTAATGAAATCACTAAGGAGATTTTTTTAATCAAGCACAGTTTATTAAAACTATAGTTGTGGACACCAAAAACATCATTAGAAAATAAGATCTCTCTTACCTAATACATAAAACATATATTGCTGATAATTGTGGTTAACAATATGCAAATAGAACAGTCAAGGTTCATATTATTAATAAAAAAAATTAGGGCGAATGGCAAAAAGGCCCATCCTAAGTGACTTAAATGCACATTGGTCAAAAAAAAAAACAGTCATTCAAATATACCCATCCCCATGTCTTTAGTCAAAAATACCCTCCATAATATATTTTTTGTCAATTCCATCCATTATGCTCTAACTTCCTTAATATTATACATTAACCCTGGATTTAAAAAAATATATCACATTAACCCCCATTTTAATAATTTCTTAAAACAATAAATTTTTTTTTTCTGATTTTTTTTTTCTGGCCAGATTCCGGCGTTGACCGTCGGAGACCGCAGATCTCCGGCGTTGACTTTTTTTTTTTCTTGAAAACATTTTTTTTCTGATATTATTTTTTCTGGCCGACCAACCACCGTTGACCGCTAGTCTTCGGCGTTTACTTTTTTTTTCGAATTTTTTTTTCTTAAAAAAAATATTTTAATTAATATTACTGTCTTGGCTGCTAAATTACTGTCTCAGACAGTAATATTACTGTTTGGGACAATAATATTATCGATATTATTTTCTCGAACAGTAATATTATTAATATTACTGTCCCAAACAGTAATATTATTGCATGAGACAGTAATATTACGGTCGAAGACAATAATATTACAATCGAATACAACAAAAATGCATGTCAAGACGATAAAATTAATTAATACAATAATATTACTGTCTCAGACAGTTAAATTACTGTTGGAGACAGTAATTTAGCAGCCAAAACAGTAATATTAATTAAAAAAAAATTAAGAAAAAAAAAATTTCAAAAAAAAAAGTCAATTAACATTTAAATTATTGTCTCCGACAGTTAAATAACTGTTGGAGACAGTAATTTAGCAGCCAAGACAGTAATATTAAATAAAATATTAAAAAAAAAAGTCAATTAACAGTTAAATTACTGTCTCCGACAGTTAAATAACTGCTGGAGACAGTAATTTAGCAACAAATACATTAATATTAATTAAAATATTTTAAAGAAAAGTCAATTAACAGTTAAATTAATGTCTCTGACAGTTAAATAACGGCGGGAGACAGTAATTTAGCAGCCAAGATAGTAATATTAATTAAAATATTTTTGAAGAAAAAAAAGAGTCAATTAACAGTTAAATAACTGTCTCCAACAGTTAAATAACTGCCTCCGACGGTTAAATAACTGCTGGAGTCAGTAATTTAGCAGCCAAGAGAGTAATATTAATTAAAATATTTTTTTGACGAAAAAACAAAATTATATAAAAAAAAAAGTCAACGCCGGAGACCCGGCGGTTGACCTACCGGAAAAAAATTAAAAAAAAAAAGTTTTCAAAAAAAAAAAAAGAGTCAACTCCGGTCTCCGGCGGTCAACGGTGGCTGACCGGCGGTCTCCGGTGGTGGCGGGTCAAAATTGGGGTTAAAATTGATTAAGTGATGAAATTGGGCTAAATTGGGGTGTAAATCATGAAATTGGAGTTGGATTGGGTTTCAATGAATTGTGGGTAATTTTGGTATATATAAAAGGATTTTCCTTATTTGCAAATAAGTTTGAATGAACTCGATTTATTTGAAAGACAAAAAAGTTGGATGCCCCTCTTTTAATTAAGTGCCTTTGTCATGGGCCTATTTGCCATTTGCCCAAAAAATTAATTAGCAATTTTCCACGATAATGAGGTAGAAAAATTAAATAATTCTTAAAAAAATACAAAAAAATTATATTGCCGGGATCGATCAACCTTAGTTGCAAAACTAAATTTTGTGTACTCAATTTCAACTCTTCATGTGCCGACCATATCCACCGTCAATTGCTGCGGCGACTGAAAGGAACGACTGAATGTGCAGGAACATCGTCCTCGACTTGATGGGTTGCGTAGAGAAGGGAAGAGAAGAGAAACAAGGGCATGAAATTGATAGCGGAGATGAGAGAAAGAAACGTTGGAGCGTGAAGAGAAGGGAGAGAAGAGAAACGAGAGAAAGAGACGCTGATGGTTAGGTTAAAAATGAGAAATAGGTATTATAGGGATATTTAATTATTTATGGCCCATTAAAAATGTTTTAGATTTATCTTAAAAAAAAAAAATTTGGACCCATCTTAATTGTACAATGTATATGAGGGGGGTTTGTCAAATAACCCCTAGTAAATAATATAGTATTGGAATTGTAAAGTGACAGATAATATAAAACATAAAAAAACACATGATTAGGAGCGGAGAGAGTATTACTATTAAGCATATAAATTAACAATTATAGTTCATTTTTGGTGGTTTATGTTTAATTGTTTTCCCTTCATAATCAATGTTTTGAAAACCGGACCGGACCGGCCGGTCCGACCGGTTCAACCGCGAACCGCCGCCATGTCCGGTCCGGTTATATGTCAAAACCCAAAAACGTCAAAAAACCGGGTTAACTACCAAAAAATCGGTTCGACCGGTAAAAACCGGTAAAACCGGGAACCAGTCCAAAAATCGGGTTTTAACTCAAAAGAAGGTGTCATGGCCGGATCCGCTTCGAAAATGGTCGGAGAAGATTGTGGGTGGACAGATCTAGTCGGATCCGGGTGGTATTGTCACCCAATCGTAGTGGTGGATGCCATATCTATCGATCGAGGAAAAGAAAAGGAAGAAGGTCAAGAAAAAAAAAGAAAAAAAAAAATGGGGAAATGAAGAAATGGAGAAAATAAAATATATGCGTGGAAATGGAAAGAAGATATAATAAAGATAAGGAGAAGAATAAAGAAAAAGAAAAATAAAAAGAAAAGAAGGGAAGAAGATGAGGGGTGGTTTCTGCGTGAAACTTACGAGGAAGAAGAAAGGAGAGAGAGAGGGGAGATGAGAGAGAAGAAAAAAAAATGATTATAAATTTATTTTTTATAAAAGTAGTGGAGTTAGTTGAATAATAAAGAGAAGAAAGAGGGAAGAAAATATAAAAAAATATAAAATATATTACATTTAAATTATTAAATTAATAAAATAATTATATATAAAAAAAAGTGAAAAACCCGGTCGAACCCCGGTTGAACCGGTCGAACCGTGACCCACTGGTGTGTCCGGTTCGATGTCCGGTCCGGTTTTCAAAACATTGTTCATAATAAGAATAATTAAATATTAAAGTTTGTTTGGTAACAAACAATTTTTAAATTGAATATAATCCTTAAAGTCCATTTTCACCGTGTTTGAGAAC